CCCCACAGATTCGTTCGCAATTGAATCACGGAGGTCCTTTGATTCATTTATTAGATTCTCGTCCTTCTAACATCGATCCTCAGATGAAATTCATAGCTCCAGAAGGCATCCTTCATCGTGATACTGGTCCAAATCATCAATTTCCTGCTAGTATGCTTCGCCCTCCTTTCCATCACCCTACCAGTGGGCCATCTGGATTCGATCCTCCAATGTGTCATCCTATGTTAGAACAAATGCCTGTTCCTGGAAACTTTCCTCCACCCCACTTGCAACGAGGATTTCCCAGGGGTGCGCCACTGCCTCCTCATATGGACATACAGGAAGTGAATCCAATGCATGGGTTTCCATTTGGAAGGCAGACCCAACCCAACTTTGCTGGTCTTGGAATGCCGCCAGGTAAAGTATTAATATATATCTTGTTTCGTTCTAGTTCTTGCGAATTTCAACTTTGTAGGACATGTCCAGTTGTCCACTCATTCCTTTCTTGGAAATGCGTACGATTTACATAATAGACTTTCGTTGGTTTCAGTTAATTCAGAGACTATGATCATGCCTATGCCAAAACATTTATTCAGCCCCGCTCCTAGCTTAAAAATGGAAAGAGGATTGGAATATTCAATGGCCTCCTTCCTGCAGTATAAAATCAAGTGAACTTACTTTTACTGAAACGATCATGTATTTATGCTTCACATTTTATTTACCAATAATATGCATGTATATATGCATTTTGTTTGATATCGCAGGTCATGATGCTGGCAGCGGAAGCCATCATCCAGAGGCATTGCAAAGGCTTATGGAGATGCAGCTCAGGTCAAACTCAAAGCAGATGAGCCCTTTCGGTGCGGCTAGCAATAGCCAAGGGATGTATGATCACGGTCACATCCACAATCTGGACCTGAACATGGATTTTGGGTATCGATAATGGGGTTTTGGTTAATAGTTTTGTTCCATCGCTATGTATTGAATCTCATGCTCAAATTTGCTGCCCTCTAATTCAGAATGGGTTCAATGTTCTTAATTCGGTAGTGATTACTCTGGATTATTGTAATTACAAATAATTATACTTGAAATGGTTGCTCGCATCTGTGTTAATACCTACATATATATATTGCAAAATTGGCTCTTGGGTCGGCAACTATAAGACTTGCATGCAACTCTACATTTATGATTTATGCATTGTGGAAGTTCTCCTGTCAAGTTTATTTCGTTGAAAATCAAAAGTCAATTCAACAAAATGGCTGCGTCTACTAAAAAAGGACAGTTAGCCATCTAAGGTTAGGAGGAAAAAACTAACGGTTGTGGAGAATTCTAGCACACGTACAATACAAGTGGGGGCTACCCATTGTGCTCTTGTGGACCTCACCTCTCAACTCAATGGGCCAAGCCTACGTTTTGTGTTATATAGGCCGGTGACTACGTTATCTTTTTGAGTTTTTTCATCTAAATATATCATATTTCAATTATCATTAAAATGATTTTTATTATAATTAAAAAATTTCTTATACGTGACACCCAAACTCAGATAAAACACGATTGATTAAATGCCTTCTTACTTATTGCCATGATTCTATAAATGTGCAACTAACAAAGTATACATTTGTTGACTTTTTAATACTACAAAGAATGAATTAAAGAAAAACCTAACCAAAAAAAAATATACATTTTCTTTTAGAAAAAACATAGAATATATGTCGAAGTCACCTGAAGTCGAGTGTTGATGATATATATATATATATGAGATAGGAACTTATTACACAATAAAAATTTTGTTTTAGTTTTATATAGATTTAGGATCGTTAGATGAATGAAAATAGAAGACTGAGATTAATAATAGGAACTGATAAGATATTCACTGAAAAAAGAATTTATCTAAATTATCTATTTTTTTCATTAAGCGATCTGTATAAAACTAAAAAAATTATACATTGTATGCAACAACAAAAAATTAATATTTAAATAAATAAGTAAAACTATTCCATTTTGAGATTACATACAGAATTTGAAAATACAAAATTATACAATAACTTATCATCATTTGAGTTTAATATAATTTGATTTTGAATATAAATGAATTAAATATAATTGTCAAGATATATACACATTAAAATAATACTTTTATATACTTATTATTTTGCAACAAATATTAAAAATAACGAGGCATTAATAAAAAAGAAAGAATTGTGATTTTTAATATTTATGACATCATCCTTAAAAGTTTTTTTAAAAAAATTGGTGAAACCTAAACTTACCACGTATTAGCATGCCAAATGCCACCAATGTATTCTATACGAATTTTAACATTTATAGGTTTCGTTTATCGAATTTAAATTAAAGGAATAATGCAAAAATCAGCCATTTTAATTATTAGAATAATTATTGTGAAAATTATTTATTAATGAAGATAATGTAGTAATTAGAAAAAGAAAGATATGCTGCGTTTAATGTAGTCGTTTTAATTATTAGAATAATTGGTGTGTCTTCAGTTCTTGAAGTTATCAATATTGTCAAATAAGCGACAAGTTACTTTCACGCGCCATAATCTGCAGTGCACAAAATATCACTCCCGTGGGTTAAATAATCAAATATATGTGTGGGATGGGATCCGATCTATTTTATTTATTTTCTAAAGTATTAAAATTGTTAATTTTATGTTTTAAAAATATTTCTAACGTTATAATTATGAATAATTTATTTTTTGAATAATGTCAAGTGAATTTCATTAGTAAAAATAATAAAATGGATCAAAACTAAAACACACTCAATCATAGAGGAAAAATATAGACAAATAATCATAGAAAAATTCATACATAAAATAAAATGATTAAATCTAAAGATGTAAAGAAAAACAAAATTTTCCGGTGAGAATAACGTTCAACATCAAAAGAACCCAGTAACCTTTATAAAACGTATTGTCTCTGTCGAACGCGACGCTTTACGAAATGATAAATGAGTGATGAGCGAATCAAATAATTTGACAGGTTGCTTCGCTACACAATTCTGATTATATCGGAAAACAACCTTTTATCAAAGACTGGATCTAACAATACGTGATTATCGATAAACTAATAAAAAAACAAATGTCGTGAGTATTTTTGTGCGAACACCAACACGATCACATAGAAAAACATGTCATAGTGACATAATTTCTTATTAAAATTAGAAAAACTAAAGAAAAGAAAAAGAAAAATAAATGACATAGAATGGAAAAAAATAAGAAAAATAATAATAACCAGCGGTCGACAATTAATATTAAGATTATTTTCATCTTTGGCTAAACAAAAAAAAGAAGGTTACATAAAAATATTGAGAAAAAAACTTAGGTTAGAGAGAAAAAAGATAAACCCTATTATTTTAAGTTATTTTATCTTATAAGATATGAATAATTTATTTAAAAAAAACTAAAGATATATAAAATCATTAAAAAGATTAAATTAATGACATGAGATAATATTACGTTAAGCCATACGATATTAAATATCAATTGTAAGAATATAATCTATCAATAACACGTTTGAAGAATTATAAGGTAATTTGATTTTTATGTAATTACATATAATTATATAATTACAATGTGATTGAATAACCATTATAATTCGTGAGTCTAGTTCAATCAAATGTAATTAATAATCCTAACTACTCTTTAAATCTTATAAAGGGGTGAGAGTTAATAAAATCATAAGTGTAATCATACTTTTTGATTTAATTATTAAAAAAATAAAATTATACATAGAGGAGAGAAGAGGGAAGAGGAAACTCTAGAGTAAGGGAGATGAGTACGTAGGTCTAGAACCCACAACTTAAAGGAATACGAGAAAATAAATATAAACAACTTGACCAATTAATAAAATGTGTTTCATCATAATATATCATAGAATTAATTCACTGTTAGTACGTCATAGAATTAAAATGTAATTATATCATATAAATATTTAAATAGTTAAAATTTTTATATATTACACTCACTTGAAATTATTATTTACAACATTCAAATAGTTGAAATATGAACTTAGTTTTAACAACTTATTAACGTAAAATATGTGTGGACACCATAATGTAATTATACAAAAAATATAATTAATAATTTTAATCATTTACTTTTAAGTGTGTAATATAAATATAAAGAGTGATTTTAATAATAGAAAGATAAAAACTTATAAATAATTAAAATTCGGAAAATATTATGTATATATAATATAAGAAATTTAAAATTAACCTTAGGGGGTGTTTGGTTCAAGGATTATAAAATTCCCATGCGATGGGAATCCCACATTCCCATGTTTGGTTGGCCGAGAATCTTATTCCATGTAATGTTTTGTTACCAATAATAGATTTTTTTGATATATTACCGATAATGTCATTACCTCCTTCCTTAGGTATTGTAATATTACCGACGTTTTGGACTAAAATGCCCTTAAATTTTTATTTTTTTTCAAAAATATCCTTATTCTGTCATTGAATAATAAAAATTCTACGAAGGTTAAATTAGAAATTTATCCTTAAATTATTTTAGATTTATAAAAAAAGTATATAATTAAAATTTTATATGAAGTTCAGGGGTTAAATTTTTTTTATCATTTCATTAAACATTTTTTATATTTTTAATTTTGTAAAAAATTATATAAATATTATGAATTTAATTTTTTAAATAAAATATATAAATATTTTATAATTTATAATATTATACAAATATATAATAAGAATAATTTGATGAAATATACATTTCAATAATCTTTTATTCCTTTAACCAGATACAATAATCTTACATTTATGCTAAATCAACCAAACACAAAATACAACATTCCCAGTAATTCTATTTCATGGTAATATTTTATTACACTAATAATCTTACATTTCGTGAACCAAACAATGGTGCGTTACAACGCCCCTTTCAATAGCGTCGAGGTCGGTCAGACAGCGATACTCTGTATGACTGCTTTTTTTATATATTTCATCATCATCTTCCTTCCTCTCGCTCTTATAAACTCCCCCGTTCATGTCCACTCAGCCTTATTAGTGCTCTCCCTCCTTTTTTTTTTCTTTTTGGATTTTCTTGTTTTTCCCCCTCTGCTTTCTGTCCAAAATTTTCAATCTTTTTCAAACCCAGCATTATCCCATTTCTTCTTCTCCTGAATCTCTTCTCTTCACATTTCCCTGCCTTTTTACCCCCTTCTTTCATCCTATCGAATCATCTCTGTTTTGGATTTTTGGTTCTCTGTAATTCCCTCAGAAAAAATAAAGAAGGTTCGAAACAGAAATGAAGGTCTGGTTCCTATTTTGGGTTTTTCTTTCTGTTTATGACTAAATTATCTGTTTTCCTTTTCTGGGTTTTGATCCTTGTATATACCTTTTAATTGTGTGTTTATATATATTCATAACTTTTTGTATATACTTTCTGATTAGTGCTTATATATCATTATTAAATATAAAAAAGCATAGATGGTTCTGAAGCAGATCTCGTGTTTTATCTGCAGAAGGTTGTGTTGAAGCTGGATTTGCACGATGACAAAGCCAAGCAAAAGGCTTTAAAGGCGGTCTCAACTCTTTCAGGTACAAAATCTTAACAAACCTTTAATTTTTATGGAGTATCGGACACCTTGTGCTCGAATTTAAGTAACAAATTTGAGCTGGCATGGCCTTGTAAAAGAAATGATTTGGTTGAACTTGGCAGGAATTGATTCCATTGCCATGGATATGAAGACAAGGCAATTGACAGTGATCGGCACAGTCGACCCCGTGAACGTTGTGAGCAAGCTGCGCAAGTACTGGCCAACCGACATAGTATCGGTGGGTCCGGCAAAGGAACCGGAGAAGAAAGAGGAGGCAAAAAAGGAAAAAGGGGAAAAGAAAGAGGGAGAAAAGAAGGAAGAAGTGGAAAAGAAAGAGGGAGAAAAGAAGGAAGAAGGGGAGAATAAAGAAGGGGGAGAGAAGAAAGAAGGGGGAGAGAAGAAGGAAGAAGGCAAGAAGGAAGAAGGGAAGAAAGAAGAGGAGAAGAAGCCACAGCCAGCACCAGACCCTGTTTTGGAACTTGTCAAGGCTTACAGAGCATACAATCCTCATATGACCACTTATTACTACGTTCAAAGCATGGAAGAGAACCCAAATGCTTGTGTTATTTGTTGAGTTGAGGCCCACGGCTTTCTCTCCAATTGGTGGTGGAATTCAATCTCATCAATCAGAATATGCATATAAATCCTTTGTATATAAGACGATGATATGCCTCTTTGAATCCTTTTTTTTACAAGTAATGTGTTTTGTGTAGAAACTAGTTTTTGAATAAATGTGATTTTGGAATTTGTTTCGAAACAAAGAAGATAAAGCAATAGCTTCACATGTTCGACAACTCCATGGCAATGGTGGGGCACTGTGAAATTCTTATTTGGAGATTATCTTTTACATCTTATAATACAATCTGTTGTAACATGTCAATGCTCATTTATTGATTCGTAGGTCTCTCCTACGTAAAAACTGAATGGTCCCTATGCATTGGTCGGTTCTTTCAAGTAATCATTACTGTTTTTTTTGTTCATCTCTCTCTCTTCTCAGAGTTCAGCAGCCATTGATAGTTAGCTGGAGAGCATGAGTAATGCAGTTTTACGTCATGTAATTTTCTGTCTGAAAGGCCCTTTACACAAGCTATATGTAATTATAAAATCATATATTAACATGAAAGAACGCATCAATCGTCACATTTACTTTATTCTTGAATCTAAAAGCTTCAGAATCTTCTGTACTTCCATCACTTGATTTGTCATTTAATAGCTCACCTTAAATTGATTCATATTAATTAATTGAGTAATTTTAAGGAGTAGGAACAATAATAGCAACAGGCAACTGTTTTAAGGCAATATCCCACGTGAAGACCCTTGCCATGGAATTGTACGATTTCCAGTATTAAAGTTGAAAATCCATGTGACCCATAATTGAAAATCTGTTTTTTTTTCTAATTAAAATTACAAGAGCAATGCTAAAAATATGTATTTGGATGTGAAAAACACAATTGAATTTGTTTGGGTGTGCAAGATAATGTGAAACGCAAATTGAAAACCCTAGCAATATTAGAGGTTAACGCTAATTTAATTTAAAATATTATCGTGTTTAATCTAAAAAATTATATAAATTTATAATACTTTCAACTATAATAGAAAAGTTGTATTGAAAGAGTTTATGATTTATAATTGAAAAAGTTATACAAATTTATAACATTTTCGATTACAACCTAAAATGTTATGAAAACGATAATATTTTCAGTTTCAATCTAAAATATTAATTTATTAAACCTTAAAAGTTACACTCTTAATAAAATTTTCGATTATAATCGATTTCTATCGTTTTTAATTTTATATTAAAAATTAAAGTTTCCGAGATTGGCGACGAGAAGGAGTAAAGATGAAAGATATGACAGCATTAATGGTCGTCAAATTTTCAGCACCGTCACTTAAGCGATTACTCTCACGTTAGCTCTGCATTGTTCCTCATCTGCTAAATAAACCCCAAAAACATTATTAACAAGTCCTCCAAATTATTAACTAAAACATAATTTTATTCTCATTAGTTTTGGGGTTTGAAATGCTCCAATTTCATACCATTCGTTTTCTAATATATTCTTTTTTGGAATGGATTTGTAGGCTAAGAATATACCCTTTCAGTAAGCCATGGAATAAATGGCTTCTTGATTAATTGAAAGCTTCACAATTTCGTGGAGAGTCAATGATGTGACATATATTATTATTTGCGATGATGCACATGCTGTATGATCAAATCATGTTCCATGCCATTCCATGCCATGTTTGTTTGTCTCAACTATTGTTGTCTATATGCTTGCGCCACCGAGGTAATTTAATTAAAGGCATGAACATGGAATGTCATGGCCTTTCACATGATCTCATGTTGTCCACATATTTGTCTCTCTCTGAAATGTTCCACCTAGTTTATACTAAAATATACCAATTAAAATTTGAGGACAAATAAGAATATATTTATTGTTGAATAGGATGAAAATCGAATTTGTTATTATAATGTATGATCAAATTTGAATGGATAAAAACCAATCCAACCTACCGCGTTGGTTTTCCACCCTACTAGTTCTGTAAGAAAAGTATAATTATAATGTAATATTCATGTCCAACGAAAATAATGCATAATTACATTCAGCACAGATCTTCAATGTCAAAAAAAATTTAAAGGAAAATATGAGTATCACGGAGAATGGTTTAATAATGGATTAAAAGATGGGAGATTTAGATTTTAGGTTGCTCTAAGTATTAGTTAAGTAGTCGCCCGGACTAGTAATAATGTGCGGAGACATGATGTTCTCATCGTATAATCTAGATGAAGAGAAGCTGAGGTGAAGGCGTTTCTTTTGCCAATGTTTCCACTTGTCCGGTTCTTGGTTATGTTGACCTAGCACGAACGCCCTAATCCTGTCGAGGGCTACCTCGACAGTGTCGTCGTCCATGTTTGCGGAGCAAACCCGAAACCAACCTGGCTCGGAGCATCGGAAACATTGAGTTTCACTTCATTGGTAATCACACGCCACAACTCTAACTCTCCCTGGAGAGATTGCTCTTTAAGGAGCGGTCTCATGTCCATCCAGAAAAACAAACCAGCGTTGCTAGTTAAGCAAGAAATCCCAACTTGTTGCAGCCCCTTGGTGAACACATTATGCCTTTTGGCCAACCTCTTGGAGCTCTCCCTCAAGAAATTCCCCACGAACTCGTCGTCCGAAAGCATCGAAGCAAGCAAATAGTGTGTCTGCAACGAGACTAATCCGAAACTTGACATCCTACGAGCACAGCGCATAACTTTGTCGTTGAACGAATATACGATGCCGACTCGAAAACCCGGGATCTCAATGTCCTTGAACAAGCTGTAAACAATGTGAATAAGATCACGGTTGCAATTATCCATGTCCTGGATAATCTCAGCAATGCTAATGAATCTAGGAGAGCTGAAGACAGTTGCGGTATAGATTTCGTCGCAGACAAGGTGGATGTTCTTTTCGTTAACGAAACTGACCATGCTTCTCATTATGTCGGGGTCAAGGATTGTGCCTAATGGGTTCGAAGGGTTGACTATGATGACGCCTTTGACGTTTATGTTCCATGTTTGAGCTTTCTGGTAGGCATCTTCCAAGGCTGCTCTCATTATAGGGAGATTGTTTGAGCTTTTGCAGTCTACTGGAACTATCTCTAACCCAGTGCGCCACCTTAGGTCCCGGGAAAATCTGCATAATTTTTTAAAATTAAAACCAACATTTTCTAAATATTTTTTGAATTGTTATCTTTAACTTCAACAGTTGAGTTTTAAAAACAATTTTAATTGAAGTACGTACCCTGCATAATAAGGAGAAGGTACAAGAAAAGCGTCGCGTGGGTCGGCCAAGCAAAACATGACTGTCTCGTTCGCTGCAGTGGCTCCGCCGCTAATTACTATACGGTTCGGATCAAATGTAACCTTGTTTCCTCCTACTCTTCCCATAAACTTTGCTACAGCCTGAAGAAAATGACGTTTACACGTATATACTAATATTAGGTTAGGACGCATACTCTAACATTCAGTAATAAAGAGTGAATACCTGTCTGAACTCGTTGAGGCCGTGATAATCCTGAAACATTGCAATATCGTTGAACTTATCAACCCACTGGCAATCCAAAAGATAAATATTCCATCTTTTTTTCTTTCTTTTTACATTTTATTTTATTTATATTTTAATTTTTTATTCGAAAACATATTCGTATGTTTTAATCTAGAATAATTTTTAACGTAAACGTGAACGTAAGTATGTAGTATACGAGTCTCTGAAGGGGGGATAGGAACCTCGTGTTCTTTATTACCTACATTGGTTAGGTTTTTTCTTTTTGGTAAAACAAGTTTTGATCATTTCATCCAAAATCTCTAACCCATTCGTAAATTTTGTTATAAAATTAAACAAAATTCCCATTTTTACCTTGAAAAATGCCCACCCAAAATGAACTATCTCTTCTCTTGGGAGTGAAGTCTAAGGGATCAAATTCCTTGAAAATTTGAATTCTATAAGTATTTTATTTATAAATCATAGTTTTATAATTTTACATCTCTAAATTCTTATTATAATCTTTTAAAAAAATTATATCATTGACATAAAATTTTATGTCTATTCCTAATAAAATTAGTTATTGTTCGAATTATACCATTTTGAATCAGTCTCCCACTGTCTTAATGTAATCAATAGGTTAGCACCTCTATTTTAATTTTTACAGTTTTTTATTTGTATGACATGAAAAAAATAAAATAAATGACAAATATTTTAATAAAGATAAAATAATTAATGGTAATTTAATATTTTATTATTATTTTATCACATTTAAGTTAATTTGATAATAATTAAAGTTTTAGAAATATAATACATATTTAAAATTTTAATGATTAAATTAATAAAATTAAAGACTGGAAAAATAATTATGTAACGAGTTACACACGTCACTGGAGAATGAGAAGCGTGCGCAGCCGAATCTATAAAAAAATTTCATTTGTCACCGTTCAAAGAAAAAAATAATCATTGTAGGTTTAATCGAAGAATAACAGATTAAAGCTATAAAAGAATTTGGCCCGGAACACGAACATATTCGATCCCGCTTTGTTCATTGTCACGTACACACTGGATAAGCTATATAACACGATCCTCATTTCGCAGCCATTTTATGCAGTCAAGGTAGAAACCTTGCTTCCTTGTACGAAGCTTCTTAATTTCTCCGATTCACCAACAGTCGAAAGCCATCCAGTGAGAATCTCCACGGTTTGATCGTCAGGATGACAATCGTTCTCGATCATACTATCCATCAATAAAACCGCATCTTCCAACAGATTATTCTCTTTAAGCCCTTTGAACATTTCATTGCATGTGGTTGTATTAGGCTTCACCCCCCTTGGCTTTCATATCTTCCATCAGAGAGAGTGCGGCTTCGACATCGTTAACCTTGCACAGAGATTCTATAAGAATGTTGTATGTTACCGTGTTTGGTAGAATCTTTGCTGTGGTACTCACGTCATTGAAAAGCTTCCAGGCTTCCTCGAGTTTTCCGTTTAAGCAGTATCCATGTATAAGAGCTCCAAACATGGCGACCGTAGGGTGAGACCTTCCTTTGTCATCTGTTTCATCACCCTACGAGCAAGTGTAAAGTTCCCAGCTTTGGAAAGACCAGCAATCACAGTGTTAAATGTGATAGTATTGGACTTAACTCCTGCTTCCTCCATTTCCTAGATGATTTCATTAGCTTTGTCTATCCTCCTCATCTTGCAGAATCCACTAATAAGAGAATTGTAGCATCCAATGTCGGGATGGAACCAGGCTGCTTTCAAGTTTGAGTAAACATTACTGGCATTCGTCCATCCTTCCAGCTCGGCAAAAGTCAGAGATCAAGCTGTAGTAAACAACAGGATCT